ACACAAAAGGTAATAGATTCCACATGATGTGAACATAAGTGCAAGTTTAGTGCATGTTTGGTGCACATCACTACTATTTCTCAATCTCTCACACTATTTCTCATATAAATACACACTTAACCAACATCCATAGTCTCATACACCTGTGCACTCTCGTATAAAATTTTCAGGCCAAATTGAAAAAAAAAATCACCATTTAACTTGGCTGAACCAAGGAGAGAAATATAGAAAGCGGTTTTTGTAGAGATGCAAAAGACACAGAAGAATTGTGAAATTGTATATGGAAAAGATATTGGATTTTACAAGATGTAAAGATGTTTGGTGCATGTTTTCAATTGATTCAATATTCATGTCTCACAACCCCATAGCATACACGGAAACATATTTATACCTAGACTAAAAAAATGGACGAGAAAGAAATAAAAGCAGCTAAGCTTATCTAATTGCCAAACCTAAACAAAAATATGAGCGCAAAAAGAAGTGAAACCTGTATATTATCATAGGGGAAAATTTGATGAAGATGAAGCCGTGTGTAATATTTTTTTACTCGTGCTGAAATTGATTAAGTCATATGATTTTAGTGTTAAAAAATGTGGGAGAACGAATGAAAATAGCAAATGAAAAAGGAACGCCTTATGTACATGTACAAAATATTTTAACAGGAATTCACTTCTGCTAACTTTAACTCCAAGTTGAGGATTCGTATGGATTTTATAGGATGTAAACATCAAGTGCATGTTTGGTGCGCAGTATGGGACATAACCAAGTAAGTTTGTTAACTCCACTTTCTTTCTTCATACAGTTCATTGCTATCTAATCTTCATGCTAAGCATGCTACAAAGTAATATACAAATATAAGACAAAAAACAACGACTTACATCAAGAATTTGGTGTTCTTGTTCCTTTGTTTGACAAGAAGCTTCTCATTGAACTGTTCAATGAAATCCCCCTTGTTCTGATGAAGAAGATGGTTAAAAGATTTCGGAATAGTCTCATCCTCAATTGAAAGAATCTATTGATTTATGCAGTCTTACCCATCCTTTATAATACAATTAATGTTATTGATATTACCAAGGCTAGGGGCCGTGTTCCTCAATAGATTCTTTCAATTGAGAATGAGACTGTTCCGAATATACATCAGAATTCCTGGTTAAAATCTCAATCAAAGGAAATATATATAGCAGAATCAGGGTGAATAAATTGTAATAATAATAATAATAATAATAATAATAAATAAATAAATAAATAAATAATTATAAAAGTGATAAATTCGATTCTAATTCGAGAAATTCGATTCCATTTGAAGTATGCATCCCCAATCAAATTGGTCAACATTCCCTTTCCACGGTATGAAACACTGAACATTTTCAAATTTCAATGAGGCCTTGTATGGATTTTCTTATTTATAGATCCTGTTTGCATTGCAGCAAGGATTTTCTTGACTGCTCAACACGCTGGAAAATAAGCAGCACATAGTTCGAAAAAAGGTTGAACCCCAAACTTGAGGGCCCTCACCGTCCCATCCCTAGAGCTTTGTGAGGGAGGTAAATCGCGGGATGTGCCCCAACAATAAGAAGCACATAGTTAATTCTAGCGTAGGTCAACCACACTTTCAGGAATCTGCATCATATGTTCTCAGAAGAATAAATACCCTAAAGACCATTAATATTAAATTGAAATGAATAAATTTGTCCCCAATCAACAGCTTAAGCTTTTAAATGATGTAGTACGGCATGGTATTGGAGCCATCAAAAATCTAGGTACATGTCTCGTCGCCACTCTTTTATGAAAATTATGAACATACCATCCATTCATTAAAAAAAAAAAAGGAATCTGATCTGCATCAAAGACGGCGTTTTGAAGACTAAGTTTTTTATGAACACATAAAACCTCGTTTCGGAGTGTTTAAGTTAGAATTTCAGATGCAGGTTCCAAAGAATGCTGAGTAAAAAGTAAGTAATAAGTTATGGGTCCACAAATTTGTGGATGTGTATACAAGACACAGTGAGCTTGTGGAAAGAAGTCTTCTTTCCACAGAGAAGAAAATACCTTTTTGTTGAGAAGTAAGTTATTGAGGAACGTGTGCAGAAAATGAGTTTGAGGAAAAGTAAAGAAACAAATAATCTTTTGGTTAAAGAATATGATAAAAAGGATGATTTAGATAACATTGGGAAGTAGAATGAGGACTATTTAATTTTGGAGCTGAAGAAATACAACCATCTTTCCAGCTTACTTACATCAGAAAAGAAATAGGTACATCATAACAACCATTTGAATCCATTCATGATGTGCACTCTCCTGAAAATGTTACTTGAAATGGAGACTAACATTATGTAAGTTTTCAAGTCAAAGAACATTATGTAAGTTTTCAAGTCAAAGACCTTGTATATGATGCAATAAAACATGAAAAGTATATACATCAGGAAATTGTGCAAGATTCAGAAAAAAAAAAGGTTATGTAAGAAGCTAATTACAGCTGATTTGGTTGAATCCTCATGTCTATCTTGTGCATTATAAGAATCCTTCCTTTTACACCATCACATTCCTAAAGGTTTTTTATTTTGAGCAGAAAAAATAAATGGGTTTAGATAGACGTGTTTAAGTAGATTTTTTGTGGGATAAAAATGATAGGAGTAATTTAATTGAACAAGATAGTTGAAGGAGGAAGAAAATACTTTTATCAAATTTTTACAAAATGGATTTTGATTTACAATGCAAGAGTTTGAATGCTCTTTTCAATTTTTTGTTTTGTTACAACAATTTGAAGGTGGTAGCCCCTATTTATATAGACAAAATGGTGGTGGAAATTATTCTAGAAAATTCAGATTTTTTCATTACTTGTTTTTCAAGACATTCTAGAAAATTTTGATTTTTTAATTTGAAATTACTATTTTTGCTAGCTCATCAAGAAATTCTAGGGATTTCTTTTTTCTTGCTCCCCAAGGCAATTCTAGTGAATTCTAGAGTAATCTTAAAATATACAACCATCATTAATACTCCTCCTTGGTGCATATTTTGATTACTCCGATCGTTTCAAGTAGTAACTCGAACCTTGCTCGTGATAGCGCCTTTGTAAATATATATGCTTACGCCCAATATCAATCGAACGTAGCTCTGATACCACTGAAAGTTTTTTTTTATTTTGAGTAGAAAAAATAAATGGGTTTAGATAGAAGTGATTTAAGTGTAATACTTTAATCAATTCAAAAGAAAAGTCAAACTTAAAAAAAAATAAAAAAAATCAAAAGATAAAAACAAAAACGGCAGGCGGTGGAAGCCAAAACAAATCATTCCAATTGAATACACACACACACACACACACACACACAACCCAAAACCAAATTAAAAGAAAGCACACACATTACACACACGAAAGAAAACAAGACAGAGAGAAAAGAAAAAGAAAAAAAAAAAGGGAAAAGAGGAAGAAAAAGAAGAAAAAAAAAAGGAAAATTCGTCAATGTGTTAGGAATTAAGTGGGTTATAATATAATGCTTAAATTTCTCAATTTTGAAAGGTAAGTAAAAAGTTACTTATTGTTAAGTTATGTTTGATTTTATAGCTGTTAGATTGTTAGGTTAAATTTAATTTTATTGAAGGGGTTAAGTGTAATAAACCATGAAATTGAGTAAAATGAAAAAAAATTAATTTTAGTAATTAAAGATACTTTAGAAATCGCCTAAACGTGAAATAATTATGTTTGGGTATTGCCAATTTAATTATTGAAATTACTTAAATTAGTTAATTGTTGATTTAAAAATTATATTATATTTCAGGTAGCGATATGGATATTGGGACAACATACCAATCGAATTGATTTTGGCGTACATAGTTCTGTGAGTGGAAAAATATAAATATTTTTAAAATATTTATAAATTAAGTATATTATTAAAGTATGTGCAATTATATGCAATTATGTGTTTGAATTACATGGTTATCATGGAAATCTCTTTTATTATGATACATGTGGAATATCAAAGATTATTCATGGCATATTTGTGACTTGGTATGTAAGACATGTGATATTAAGATTTGTTTGGTATGTGAGACAATGCAATATTGAGATCGGCCAGAAAGGTACCCATGATTATATACTTTTTCTAATTCACAGAGGGACCTTGGCCGTGTTCTATCCTACACGGAGGGTCTTGACCTAACATTGGTTTTGATCGTGTACATATAGTTCACAGAGGGGCCTTAGCCGTGTTCTAGAATTGATTATGAGAGGTCTTTGAGACCGACTTTTGTTCACGGAGGGGCCAAAGGCTCGTGGCAAAAGTTCTTAGCCCGAGGGGCGGACTACAGATTTTAGTCAGAGGGTACATTTTTTGTGGATTTTTCAACATGTTCAATGTGATGAGATTATAGCATGGTTATTAGCTGAAGTTATATCATGATTTTAAGATGATATTTTTATGACCTTATGTGAATATTTCACTTTGTGGCTATAATTACATAATGGTAGCTTGTGAATTATCAAATGATATGAATTTGATTTTCAATAAAAATGTATAAATGAAAAAGTATATTTATTTTGAACTTCTCCACTCACTGAGCTATTAACTCATATACATTTTTCCACGTTTTTCCTTATCAGGTAGCAATTGAGAATCTAGACATCTTTTGGAGTTGAGCCTTGATTTTGGAGTCAGAGCCACATGACAGAGTTTGTTAGTATGTCTCACTTCATAGAATATGAAGTCAGTGTTTTGGGATGCATGTTCATGTCTAGATGTGATTTTGCATCACTTGTAGATAGTTATGGGGCTCACTATGTATTATGTATCCATATGTATATTTCATTGTATTTCTTGGTAAAAGTGGAGATTTCGGCTTATCTTTATTATGCTGTGCTATAGTTTGGGATTTGTCTGAAATTGATCACAGGTTGGTTAGTCCTATTTACAGAGGAGATAATGTCGAAATTTTGTTAGAAAAATGATGTATAAAAAGTGATATCTTGTATTTGTAGTAGCCTTGATGGTGCGTCCGACTTTTAGTTGGTATCTATCATCGGCGCATGCCACATCCGGATCTAGTGGTGTTACAAGGGGCGAGGTGTGTCAGTTTGGTATCAGAGCATGTATTAGAGTTCATGAGTTTGCGTTGTACATGCATACATTATGATATTTAGCATATCATGCATAACTATAGGTGAGTCATCCCTCATGATGACAAAACTCGAAGGCTCCAATATCTGTTGCCCCAGTCTTACATTGCTCCCGATAGAGATGAATTGAGAAAGTCCAAGAGAGTAGATGAATCAGTTCACCAGCCTCCTGAACAATAGGGACAGGGAAATGTGATTGGAATTGATCCTATTGCTGTTGAAAGAATTACTATTGCCGTTGCATCTGCTATGCGAAATACTAATAGAGATTTTAGTATTGAAAGGGCTACAAAGTTTGGGGCTAAAGTGTTCACTGGCACAGCAGATTCTACAGTTGCGCAGGCATGGATGACAAAGATAGAGAGGGTATTTGACGTTATGGGTTGCTCAGATGATCGGAAGTTGTGTCTTGCCACCTTCTTATTAGAGGAGGATGCGTATGATTGGTGGCAATCGATATAGAACACATATCTAGACCCTTCCATCATTACTTGGACATATTTTCATTGTATCTTTTATGATGCCTATTACCCTCGGTCCTATAAAGTTGCAAAGCAGGAAGAATTTCTGAAACTAGTACAAGGCCAGATGACTATTGTAGAATATCAGGTGAAATTTATTGAACTTTCAAAGTATGCCCAAGTTCTGGTAAGCAACGAAATTGGTAAATGCAGACAGTTTAAAAATGGGTTAAGGGAATAAATCAGGTCAGTAGTAACAGTTGCAGGTTTGAATGAATTTGGCAAATTAGTGGAATCAGCTTTGAGAGTAGAAAAGAGCATTTCTGATAGGCCAAGTGGTAGAGAACAAACGATGTTCAGAGCAAGTGGTAGTTAAACAATGGCAAATGCTTCTAGCTATAGACCACCACGGAGGGACAGTAGAGGATTTCGACCTGGAGTGTCCAGCTCAGGTCAATTCAAATCTCGACTTCGTGAAAGTTAGGGTCCTAGATTCAGTCCAAGTACTGTACAACAGCCATTGGCCAGTCGTAATTATACTCAGGGTTCTTTCCAGAGATCATTTACTCCAAGACAGGGAGAGAGTTCTACTAGTGCCAGATTTTCTTCTTGCCAATTACGTGGAAGATCTCATCCTGGAGACTATTTAAAGTTGAAGGGAGTTGGTGTTTTCTATCGCTGTGGCCAAGAAGGACATCTGAAAAGGAATTGCCCAGTTGTATTCTAGGAGAGTGGCATGGCACAGAGGATGTTTCCTCAGCAGAGTGTTGGTAGTACAAGACAGAATCAGACTCAGAGAGATGATTCAGCTAACAGAGCAGGTACAAACAGTGTGGCCCAGTCTAATATCGCGAGCGGTAGTGGTACAAAATCAAAAGGGCAGGCAGGACAACCGAAGACCTAGGGCAAGGTTTTTGCTATGACTCAGCAGGCGGCAGAGGAGTCACTAGATGTTATCATGGGTATGTTGTCTATTTTTGATAGAAATGTTCGTATTTTGATTGATCCTGGATCTACACATTCCTTTATGTCATTTGCATTTACTTTATATGCGAATCAAAAGCCAGAACTTTTAGGCAATTGTTTGGTAGTGAATACACCAGTAGGAGAATCACTATTAGCAAATAATATATATTGAGATTGTGGGATTAAGGTAAAGGCGAATGAGCTCAAGGCAAATTTAATACCTCTTGACATACATGATTTCGATGTTATCTTGGGTATGGACTTTTTGGCAACAAATGGAGCTTCAGTTGATTGTTTTCGAAAGGAGGTTATGTTTAGACAGCCAGGATAGCCTGAAATTATATTCAATGGACAGCGCAGAATTTTACCGTCTTGTGTGATATCTGCTATTGACGCTAGAAGATTACTCAACAAGGGTTGCCATGCATATTTGGCTCATGTAATTGATACAGATGCTAGCAAACTAAAACTTGAAGATATCCCAGTGGTCAAGGACTTTCCTGATATATTTCCAGAAGAATTACCAGGCTTACCATCAAACAGAGATAGGAGTTTACTATTGATCTGATTTCAGGAACTGTACCTATTTCACAGGCACCCTATAGAATGGTACCAGCAGAATTGAAAGAGCTAAAGGTTCAGTTGCAAGAGTTGGTAGACAAGGGTTTCATCAGACCTAGTATATCTCCGTGGGGAGCACCAGTTTTGTTTGTGAAAAAGAAAAATGGCACCATGCGACTGTGCATAGATTACAGACAATTGAACAAGGTGACAATTCACAATAAATATCATTTGCCACTTATTGATGATCTGTTCGATCAGCTTCGAGTTGCTGCAGTATTTTCAAATATTGATTTGCATTCTGGATATCATCAACTTAAAATCAGGGACAGTGATGTGCCAAAAACTGCTTTCAGGACAAGGTATGGTCATTTTGAATTTCTTGTGATGCCATTTGGGTTGACCAACGCACCAGCAGCGTTTATGGATATGATGAATAGAGTGTTTCGCACATATTTAGACAGATTTTTGATTGTATTCATTGATGATATTTTAATATACTCTCGAGATCATGATGAGCACACAGAGCATCTCAGAATCATCTTACAGATTCTACGTGATGAGCAGTTGTATGCTAAATTCAGTAAATGTGAATTTTAGCTTGATAAATTTATATTTTTGGGACATGTCATATCAGCAGAGGGAATTTATGTGGACTCGCAGAAAACAAAGGCAGTGGTAAAATGGGAAAGGCCTACTAATGTAACAGAAATTCGAAGTTTTCTTGGCTTAGTAGGTTATTATCATCGTTTTGTAGAAGGATTTTCAAAAATTGCTCTTCCTTTGACCAGTTTGACTAGAAAGAATGCTAAATTTGTTTGGAATAAAAATTGTGAAAGAAGTTTCCTCGAATAGAAGAATAGATTAGTGTCAGCTCCAGTTCTTACCCTTCCATCTCCTGGTGAAGAGTTTGTGATATATAGTGATGCTTCTAGTCAGGGTCTTGGTTGTGTTTTGATGCAGAATGGGAAAGTTATAGCATATGCTTCCAGGCAGTTGAAGAAACACGAACTAAGTTATTCTACACATGACTTAGAGCTAGCTACAGTTGTCCTAGCCTTGAAAATTATGAGACATTACTCGTATGGTGAGAGATGTCAGATATATATAGATCATAAAAGCTTAAAGTATATTTTCGATCAGAAAGAGTTAAACTTGAGGCAAAGAAGATGGTTAGAGCTGATAAAAGATTACGACTGCAAGATTGATTATCATCCAAGGAAGGCCAATGTAGTTGCTGATACTCTCAGTCGGAAAATATCGAGTCCTATGACCCAGACTAATGCAGTATGTTCATCTTTGTGTTGGTGAGTTCCGAGGTTCTCATGCTCAATTATCAGTTACCAATGTAGGAGCATTGTTTGCCAACTTTCAAGTGAGGCCTACTTTGATTGGCATAGTTAGAGAAACTCAAACTCAAGATCCAGTGTTGAGCAAATTGAAAGAAGAAGTTAGTAAAGGTAAGCATACATATTATACCATTCGAGATGACAGAGATTTAGTTATAGGAAACAGATTATGTGTTCCAGATGATTCGAAATTGAAGGGAGAAATTCTAGAAGAGACACATAGTTTAGCTTACGCGATGTATCCAAGCAGTACAAAAATGTATCGTGTACTCAAAGAACACTATTGGTGGCATGGAATGAAGAGAGAGATAGTTGAGTTTGTATCCAGATGTCTCATTTGCCAGCAAGTGAATCCAGATAATCAGAAAATAGCAGGATTGTTACAAACGTTGCCTATTCCTGAGTGGAAATGGGAGCACATTACTATGGATTTTCTATTTGGACTTCCACGGACTCAGAATGGACATGATGGCATATGGATCATTGTAGACAGATTGACGAAGACTGCTAGATTTTTACCTATTAAAGTCACTTACTCATTAGATAAATTGGCAAAAATATATGTTGATGAGATAATCAGTTTGTATGGGACACCAGTATCTATTGTTTCAGATAGAGATTCTCGTTTCACTTCTAAATTTTGGCCCAGTTTGCAGAAAGCTATGGGTACTAAACTTCATTTCAGTACAGCTCTTCATCCACAAACAGATGGTCAGTCAGAAAGAACTATTCAGACTCTAGAAGACATGTTACGAGCTTGTGTACTACAGTTCAAAGGGAATTGGGATACTCATCTTTCTTTGATGGAGTTTGCTTATAATAACAGTTATCATTTGAGTATAGAAATGGCTCCTTTTGAAGTACTGTATGGAAGGAAATGCAAAACTCCAGTATGTTGGGATGAAGTTGGTGAAAGAAAGTTATTGGGTCCTGAATATGTCTAGATTACTGCTGAGAAAGTAAAGATAATTAAAGAAAAGTTAAGGATAGCCCAAGATAGACAGAAGAACTATGCAGATAGACGTAGAAGAAACCTTTAATTTGATGTTGGGGATAAAGTTTTCCTATGATTGTCTCCATGGAAAGTTGTTATCAGATTTGGTAAATGAGGTAAATTGAGTCTGAGGTATATTAGGCCATATGAGATTGTTGAACGCATCGATCCAGTTGCGTATCGATTGGCTTTGTCAACAGAATTGTCCAGAATTCATGATATATTCCATGTTTCTATGCTTCGTAAGTATATTCCAGATCCATCTCATGTTTTGGAATCACAACCAGTAGAGCTGAAGGAAAATCTTACCTATGAAGAAAAATCAGTTCAGATATTAGACAGGAAGGAACAGGTCTTACGTAGTAAGACTATTCCTTTAGTTAAAGTTTTGTGGAGGAATCATGCTATATAAGAAGCGACATGGGAAAGTGAAGAGCAGATGCGTTCTTAGTATCCCCAGATTTTTCGTACTTAGTTAATCGAATTTCGAGGACGAAATTCTTTTAATGGGGTGAGTTTTGTAATACTTTAATCAATTCAAAAGAAAAGTCAAACTTCAAAAAAAAAAATCAAAGGATAAAAACAAAAAGGGCAGGTGGTGGAAGCCAAAACAAATCATTGCACACACAACCCAAAACCAAATTAAAAGAAAGCACACACATTACACACACAAAAGAAAATGAGACAAAGAGAAAAAAGAAGAGAAAAGAAAAAGGAAAAAAAAAGGGAAAAGAGGAAGAAAAAAAGAAAAAAAAAAGGAAAAATACGTCAATGTGTTAGGAATTAAGTGAGTTATACTATTATGCTTGAATTCCTCAATTTTGAAAGGTAAGTAAAAAGTTATTTATTGTTAAGTTATGTTTGATTTTATAGTTGTTAGATTGTTAGGTTAAATTTAATTTGATTGAAGGGGTTAAGTGTAATAAACTATGAAATTGAGTAAAATGAAAGAAAAATTAATTTTAGTAATTAAAGAGACTTTAGAAATATTCGCCTAAACGTGAAATAATGATGTTTGGGTATTGCCTATTTAATTTTTGAAATTACTTAAATTAGTTAATTGTTGATTTAAAAATTATATTATATTTCAGGCAGCGATATGGATATCGGGACAGCATACCAATCGAATTGATTTTGGCGTACATAGTTCTGTGAGTGGAAAAATATAAGTATTTTTAAAATATTTATAAATTAAGTATATTATTAAAGTATGTGCAATTATATGCAATTATGTGTTTGAATTACATGGTTATTATGGAAATCTCTTTTATTATGATACATGTGGAATATCAAAGATTATTTATGACATATTTGTGACTTGGTATGTAAGACACGTAATATTGAGATTTATTTGGTATGTGAGACATGCAATATTGAGATCGGCCAGAAAAGTACCCATGATTATATACTTTTCCTAATTCACAGAGGGGCCTTGACCGTGTTCTATCCTACACGGAGGGTCTTGACTTGACATTGGTCTTGATCGTGTATATATAGTTCACAGTGGGGCCTTGGCCATGTTCTAGAATTGATTATGAGAGATCTTTGAGACCAACTTTTGTTCACGGAAGGGTCAAAGGCCCGTGGTGAAAGTTCTTAGCTCGAGGGGCAGATTACAGATTTTAGTTAGAAGGTACATTTTTGGTGGATTTTTCAGCACGTTTGATGTGATGAGATTATAGCATGGTTAATCGCTAATGTTATATTATGATTTTAAGATGATATTTTTATGACCTTATGTAAATATTTCACTTTTTGGCTATAATTACTTGATGGTAGC